TCTCATAGTGGAATCATGGGCACACTACTGTGGCTCTCTTCAGATGGATCTCAGCATGAGCTCAGCTGGATTCTGTCTAGTAGGTATAATCTGGAGAGCCACTGAGAACAGGTATGCACAGGTGCAAGCAGGTACGTTCAAGTGTACCCACTGCTGCAGGATTGCTGAGAATGGCTTATATATTGATGACTTTGATTCTTTAAGCCCCTGATCTTTAAGTTTTTACCTGAATACCCACTTTTTTCCTTAAATAGGATGAAGAGGCACTAAAGGGACAGCAGATGAGTGACTTACTGCTAACACCTATATCACAGCCTAAGCTTGATGAAACTGGAGGCCCCATGCTTTCTCAGGATAGCTCTTTCAGGGGTCCAGAAGCCCAACTAGATGTGACACAGAGGACGCTCCTTCATCCCGAGAATGAGGTAAGCAGCATGGACTATATAGGACTGTTTAACTGCAGCCCTGAGCACCTCTGCATAGAAGGCTCATCATCCAAAAGCAGCAGGCCAGGTGTGGTGGTACATGCCTTTAATTCCAGCACTCAGGAAGCAGAGGCAGGTGAATCTCTGTGAGTTTGAGGCCAACCTGGTCTAATAGCAAGTTCCAAGCCAGGGCTACATAGTGACACCCTGTCTCAGAAAACAAAAACAAAACAAAATGAAAAACAGGTAGCATTATTGTGACCAAAGTGTATTCTTTGTAATTTTATCAATTTTATGTCATTATAGGTTAGTAATATACTTATACATTCAGAGCTTTTAAATTATCAAGTAGCTTAGTAATTATTAAATCATGTACAATATTAGGTAACTTTCAACACTTCTTCTGTTTAAATGAAAGGTTTTGGACTTAAAAGAACAGCTAAAAAAATAAAAGTGACTTGACTCAGTAAGAATGAAGAAATACTGCACCTCAACTTAAAACTAGATATGCAGAATAACCTTGCTGCCATCAGCCTCCAAGAATCTGAAGAGGAGAAAGTAGGTTTAAAGATAGACTACGAAAGATCTACCTGGAGAACTAAGTTTATGTTGATTATTTAAGTGCTGGGGCCACTACAAGCCTCCCTTCCAGTGCAAAAGAGGGGACCCCATGTGGCAGACAGTTGAGGGAGTTTGCCATGGAACAGCTTTCTCAGGATCCTGAGTGGAGAGCCAGTGGCTCTGCCCCACTCTGTTTCTGTTTCTAGCACTAACAGGTATATCAAGGCTTTTCAATGGGGTGACATTGCAGGGGAGGTTCATTTACCCCTGGGATTATTATGAGGAGAGACAACGCATCATTTGGATTGTATAAGCCTTCCCTTCTCACCGATCAATAAGAAAACTTGGTTTTATGTCTTTTGCATCATTTACACTGTGAAAAACAACCTTTGAAGCAAAAGAAAAAGGGCCTCTACCTAGCAGAAATGATGTGGAAAGAAAGCATAGCTTTAGGAGATGGCATTGAAATGTTTGAGACTGTTCTGGTACTAGAGTAACCTGTACCACAGTGAATTGTAGTATAGAGGCACTTGTGGGTGGTTTTGTGCCACTGTGAATGGGCAGTTTAGAGAAACTAGAGGGCGGCATTTGTACCAATGTAAATGGGTAGTATAGAAACACTGGTGGGTGATGTTTGTGCCACTGTTAGTGGGTAGTATAAAGACATTTGTGGGCAGTGTTTCTAACCAGGCTTCACAAAGATTGCTTTGTGTAGATGGAAAGCCTATTCCTTCATTGGACTCTCAGTGGTGAGCACCAGGTGCAGTGCACTGTACTCATCCTTCTGGTTGCACTCAGGCATGCTGCCTGGAGAGAGGGAGTGACTACTAACTTTGGAAATGCGTAATTTTTAAAAAAGATTTATTTTTTTTAATTATGAATATGTGTGTGTTGGGTGAGGTAATGTGCAGGTGCCTGAGGAGGCGAGAAGGTATTGGATCCCATGACGTTGGAGTTACGGGCTCTAGGAACCAAACTTGGGTCCTCAGCAAGAACAGTATGCACTCTTAACTACTGAACCATCTCTCTCGTCCCTGTTACGTTATTTTAACATAAAGGACTTCTGTAGAAAAATATTTCCAGGGGTCAGTGAGATGGTGCCTAATGACCTGAACCTGAGTTCAATCTGCAGGACCCACATGTTAAATAAGAAGCAGTTCTCGAAAGTTGTCCTCCAATCTTCAAACACACACCGTAGCACACATGTGCCCACATACATACACACTGTTGTAGTTTGATTTCCTTTGCTGTGATATAACACTGGCCAAAACCAGCTTACGGGAGGAAAGGGTTTATTTCACTTTATACTTCTGGGTAACAGTCATTAGGGAAAGTCATAGCAGTCAGAGCAGGAACCTAGAGGCAGGAGCTAAAGCAGAGACCATGGAAGAATGTTGCTTATTGGCTTGCTTTCCCCCTAGCTTTGCTTAGCCACTTTTATTTCTTTTTTTTTTTAAATTAATTTATTGAAAATTTCGTACATGCATATAGGGTGTTTGATCAAATCCATGCCTACTCCCTCCCCTCTGACTCCTCCCGTCTCTCCCCATTACTTTTTTCTGATAACTTCGTGTACTCTTTCTTCTTCTTTTATTATTATTTTTTTATAGGGCTTTTTGCTATTCTAACATTCCCCCCTCTGAAGAGCTAACTCTAAAATTTTTTAAGGATTAAATAAAAGCTCCCAAATTCTTATATAGCCCAGGCCTACCAGCCCTGGGATGACACCATCCATGGTGGACTGGACCTGCCTACATCAATTATCGTTAAGAAAATGTTTCACAGACTTTCACATAGGCCAGTCTTATGGAAGCAATTCCTCAATTAAGGTTTCTTTTTAGGTGACTCTTCTTTGTGTCAGGTTGACAAAAACTAACCAAATACACATACACACACACACACACACACACACACAAATGTTAAAACTGAATAATGGCCAGGCATGGTGACTCACACCTTTAATCCCAGCACTCAGGAGGCAGAGGCAAGTGAATCTCTATGAGTTCAAGTCCAGCCTGGTCTACATAGTGAGTTCCAGGGCAGCTAGGGCTACAAGGGAGACCCTGTCTCAAAAAGACAATAAATAAATAAATAAATAAATAAATATAAATAAATAAATAAATAAATAAATAAATAAATAAATAAATAAATTGAATGAATGAATGAATGGATAAATTAATGAATGATTGCAACTAGAATTCTACTTAAATGGCTGACTTAGTAGGCTCTGATCTTTGGACGACATTTCCTTCTGGTTCCTGGAGGACAGCTTTGTCTCCATAGCTGTTGTAGTTAATATAATCACTTCTTTCTGTTTCCTTTTCATGTCCTACTGCCTGATTCTTAATATGTATATCCTTTCTGTGTTGCTTGTTCCAATATTGGGCTAAGTGATAGTTCTTTAATTTTACTGTTTACTTTCCCCTTACTCCATAATTTTTATTTTTTAATTTTAAATTATATTTCCATATATATGTACACATGTGTGTAAGTGCCTGGGGAGGCCAGAGGTATCAAATGCATCTAGAACTTGAGCAGTTGTAAGCCTCCTGACATGGGTACATGGAACCAAACTCGGGTCCTCAGCAAGAGCAGTATGTGCTTTTAACAGCTTAACCAGACTCTTTTGTTGGTTTGTTTTGAATTTTTAACTTTTTATTGAATTTTTGTGTATTTCATACAGAACATCTTAATCAACGTTATACCCCCTTCCCCATTGGCACCTACCCATTGCCCCCCCGCACTGGATTTTATATAGTCTGTCATTTTTATTAAGGCCTATCATGTCAAGTTAGTGTCTCCAGATGTCCCTCATTGTAAGTTCATCCACTGAAGTCTAGTCAGCTTATCTAGAGTCCCTCACTTTAAGAAGATCAGCTCTTCCTCACCCAGCAGTGATTAGCTGCCAGTAATTCTTTGACTAAGATTGGAGCCTGCTGTCCATTTCCACAGTTCTGTACTGGGTTTTTGTCTGCTTGAGTTTGCGTGGGACTTGTGCATGCTGACACCATTGCTGTAGGTTCATATGAGAAGGGTTCCAGGAGCCTGTAGGACTCTTCCATATGGTCATGCACTTTCTCCCTGGCTCTTACAGTCTTTCTGCCCCCTCTTTCTCAGTGGTCCCTGAGCTCTGGGGTCCTGTCTAAAGACCCACTCTCTGTAGACTCTTATTCTCTACGTTTTGGCCATTTGTGACCTTTTGTGTTCCTGGCCCTCTGTTGCATGAGGGAGCTTCATTGATGAGGATTGAAAGATGCATTAGTGTTCTCTTCATCCTTTGTTCTATGTTCTGTGAGCCTTTAGGTGTAGAAGTTGCATTTTACATGTGCCACTTAGACTTGTACAATTCATAGAGAATCTCTGTGTGTGACCAGTTGTGGAACTCTGTAATAATCTCTGTTGAAAAAGAAGCTTCTTTGATGGCTGCTGACTGAGATACTTGTTTTTAAATTTAAGGATCCATATTTTGCACATAGTAAGAAATTACATTTGCCTAGGGATGTGACAACCTTGGGGTTTTCTCTAAGATCTGTGACCTCTCCAGCTATGTGTATTTGGTTAGGTTTACAGTGCCACATGAGTTTTCCTCTCATTGAGTGGGCTTTAAGTTCAATTAGGTAGCTATTGATTACACCCAAGATAAAACTACCACTGCTGCACCAGTGTTGTTTCCTGTGCCTGTCATTGATGTGGGTTTTAGGCCTTGAAGCTAGAGTTGGACCATCAATTGATGTTCTCCCTTAGCAGCTTGCACAGTGCTCTCCAAAGCCATGAGAGCTAGCCTTCAGGGGAGGTGGCTTCCAGGTCAGTTCCAGCTCCGTTGCTCCAAATCCTGTGTCCAAAGTATATTCTGTCTTCAGCAGTAGGATCTTACCTTCAAGTTCTGGGTGGCAGTCAAGGACTGGCAATAGCCTGTGCAATTTTGGGAGTCTCTTGGACTATCCTGGCCAACAACTTGAAGGAAGGTTTCTCTTGTCTAGCACTGTTTCTTGTTAAGTAGTCTTCAGCTATACACATGGACTCATGTAGGGATATTGTATGTGTAATATTTCAATAGGTTTTTGGACTAATATGATTCCCTCTGATTTTTCATACTAGCTAGGCACTATTTATGTCTCTTCTTTCCCTGTCTTCTCCTTCCTCCCCGCCCTTCCCATTTAAAATGTCCCCATTTTCCCCATTTCTCCCTTGATAATTCCTGTCTGCTGTGATCCCACCTCTCTTGAATGCCTTCTTTTGCCCCCTTCATTACCATAGTTCCTTGTATAGTCCTCCTCCTCCTCCTCCTCCCATTTAACTACCTCCCTTTCACACATTTTTCCCTTCGTAACACCTGTCTCCTACTATTTTTCTCTCTTGGATTCCTTCTTTCCCTTCACCTCCCTGGTTTCCTTCCATTTTCCTGGTTCCTGCAGTTACATCAGGATATGTACTCACAA